AAATGGTAAAAAATAACAATATTTAAAATGCATTGTCTTCTCCATCTGACCTTCTCCTACTATTATAATTTTTCTTTTCAAGATCAAGCTCAGGTCTCCTCATCCCAGCTTAGAAGCTTCCTAAGCATTCCTCTGCTGAGTTAGTAGCTCTCTCCCCTTTCCTCACAAGGAACCGTACACATTCCTGTATTATAGTCCGTATCATATTGCACTATGTTTATTCAACCATACATTTACCCTCCTCCCACCCACCCACTGGACCAAGCTGCCCAGGAGCAGCAACATCATCCTTGACTTTATTACCTAGTGCTTGGCAGAGAGCACTTAGTGTGCTATCAATCAATGTCTGATGAGTGAATGAACCAACCACTCTCTCACAGTCTTGCACTCTCAGTGAATCTTACGCTTTATTGGACATAAAAATCACCTGGAGTTGCTGGCTTAAAATGCAGCTTTCCAGGCCACAAGAGCTGCTAATTCAAAACCGGAATAGGGTCCAGGAATTTGCATTTTTATTAAGTAGTTGATGCTTTGATGCGAATGGTCCAGAGGTCACACTTGGCAAGTTCTACTCTATGATTAGTTCTGCTTCTTAGTCCCAATGTCATATCACAACTACCTGTTGATCTGAATAAAAACATAGAGCTTCTCTGCCCACCCCCTCCCACCAGCCTGTCACCACCATTCTGACTCCCCAGTATGGGTAACGACATTTGAAACAAACCCCAAGACTCCCTTCTAGTAAAATTTGTGAAAATAAGATGATATTTATAAACCATTTAGAGCTCTTTAGAAGAAGGGTACCTTAGCTCATTAAGGAAATATTACCATGATATGAACCTAGCATCATGAAAATTATCTTGGACATGTCATATTTGGTCTGAGACTCAAATGCAGAAGAAAATAAAACCCACACACCATCCCTGCATGGATACAGAGCCTGTGTGAGCTCTTTCCCTGGCTGTGTTCTTATTCATGGACAGATTTCCTCCTTCATTAGGACCAGAGTAGAGATGAAGAGGGTTGATTTGGACACTGGTGTGCTAAACATTCTCTTCAGACTGGAGTTCTAGATCAGCAAACTTAATAGCTGATGTTTACATAATTTTTAAAAATCCTAAGTAGTACACCCTGCCTGCACATTATTTTATATGTATGCATGTTTTTTAAAAAAAAATTATGAATTTAAGCAACTTCACAGGAGAAAGAACTGAAGGAGGCAGTTATTAATATTAAACTACCTCTTCTGTATGAGTATGGAAAGGATTTCTGATCCCTGTTATATATTTCCACATAGATTGTTATGTATTTGTATTTGGCTCCTTATACTATTTTTTACTCTATCTTATTTTATATGTATATTTCCATGGGTCAACCTGATTTATATTTTTGTCATTTTAATTAACAAAATGATATCCAATGCATTTTATACTATTATTTGCTCAGTGTTCTCTCTAATGATGGACACTTTGGTTATTTTCAATTATTTGCTGTCATGCTATTACATACAGAGTTATTATGCTTATTTCTGCTCAAATTATGTTTTTGTTTGTATGAATTCCATGGGGTCTATTCTCCAAAGTGAGAAGATTAGCTAAAAGAGTAATGGCAGTTTTATAGTTCGGGTTGCACATTACAGTATTGCTTTCCAGAAACATAGAGCCAATATACAGCCCCACCTGGGGTGAGGCCTGCAGATTTTCTAACAGCTTGGCCAACATGAAGTTTTACCATGCTGGCCTATTTCTGCTAGTTTAATATGTGCATAGGGCCTTGCTAGAGATAGTTTATTTTGAAGTTCTTTAAGTGATATGAAGCAGTTCTTTTCCATGTGGGATGATTCACTATTTTCATTTGAAGGACAAAGAATTCATCTCTATATTTGACAGTTTTGAAGTGACAGGTTTAATTGCCTTTTGTATAATTGATTCTGTAGGGAGAGTAAATGGGATTGGTGTTAGATATTGGGCCAGGCTAAAAGTGTCAAGGAAAAGACCCATTGTAGAGGTCTGAATCAGGACATTCTTAACATGGAGTACTGGAACAGAAATTGCAGTCAACCCTGTTTAAGAAGGACTAGAGAGCAGGAACATTCTGATTTTCTGATGAAAATAATTGCCAGGGCTTTGACACAGGACAATAGATTTTGCTTTCAAATGAAAGCAAGACCCTGTCCTCTCTGGCTCTTTGATCTTCTCACAATGCCAGTTCCTTTCCTGAACATTTTCAGATATTCCCATTTCAGAGAGACTACTGTGGTCTATGATAGAAAGGGTTTTAGAATGGCCATGAAACTAAAACATGTAGTTTGAGAGCTCTTGGGGTAGGACCTGGAGGGAGATGTCTCAGGAGAAGTCAGTCTTGTCTATGAAAAGGCCAGCTTGATCACAAAAAAGGGCCTTGGTTGTCTTGGCCCTCCAAGACTTATGGTCATCTTCTTAAGTAAGCAAATAAATGATTGCAATGTTGGTTCTAGTCTCTGTGCTCCTAAACACAAGCTACATTGTTGTTCATGCAAGATGGGCCCTTTGTTTTGGACAGTGGTCTAATTTTTTGAAAATTGGTGACTCTCTACCTTATAATTAAAATCAATCTATCAAGCACTTGGAGACAAAATCTGAAGTTTTTCTTCCATTCCTAGTTATCACACTAAATTTTGTAGTTTTTGCCTTCACTCTTGTCTCTGCAGAATACTCGCATACACATGCATACACACATACATACCTATCTCTATCTACTTTATTTAGATATAATTCATATACCGTATAATTCACCCATTTAATACGTACAATTCAATGATTTTTAATATATTCACAGAATTGTGCATTCATCACCACAAGCAATTTTAGAACATTTTCATCACCCCAGAAAGAAATCGCATACCCATTAGCAATCACCCTCCATTTCTCTACAATCCCCCCAATCCTAGGCAATCATTAATCTACTTTCTGTCTATAGATTTTACTATTCTGGGCATTTCATATAAGGAGTCAAACAACATGTGGTGTTTTGGTTTAGATTATTTTACCTGAGATAATGTTTCCAAGGTTCATCTGTGTTGGGATGTATATCAATGTACTTCATTGCTTTTTATTGCTGAGTAATATTCCATTGTGTGGATATACAACTTTTTGTTAATGCACTCATCAACACTTGGATGTTTCCATCCAAGTGATGGACAGTTGGATTGTTTCTACTTTCTGACTATTATAAATAATGCTGCTATGAACATTCATGTATAAGTTTTTGTGTGGAAGTATGCTTTCATTTCTCTTGGGAACATACCTAGGAGTGGAATTGCTGGGATATATGGGAGCTCTGTTTAACTTTTGGAGGAGCTGCCACATTGTTTTCCAAAATGGCTGTACCATTTTCTGTTCCCACCTACAATGTGTGAGTGCTCCAGTTTCTCCACATCCTTGTCAGCATTTGTTATTGCCCATCTTTTTTGGGATAGCCATCCTAATGGTTGTGAAATGGCATCTCATTGTGGTTTTATCTGCATTTCCTTGATAGCTAATAGAATATTTACTCCTTATCCAAATATTTTCTTCTACTCTTTAAAAATTCAATAATGAAGATGCTGTAGAAAATTAAAGAGTACAACTTATGCTTGCTGCTACAACTTCCTCTGGGGTTTCACTTCACTGCATGATAATGTAAGGGGCTGCCACTAGCATGAGTGTGCACCAACCATTTTCTTCCATTCTTGTATCCATTCATCATTCAGAATCCTGGGCAGGAGGGATAATTGTCCTATGTTGGGTCTTTCCCACTCTTTTGATTTTTATTTCTGCCTGGACAGTGCACAGCGTGAGTGTGGGTATCCTGAAAGGGAGTCAGGGTGCTCTTGAAGAGGAATAATAGAAGCCAAAGTTGAGACCACAATCCAGGTTTCCTGCCTCTCTGGGTGTATCACATTGCCAAGGTCAGGAGAAAAGCAGACCATGTTAGAAACTTCATCATGCAGGTTGTTAATAATTATGCCCTAGTGCACATTATCACAAAGAAAACATAATATCCTTTATAATATTTAAATATTATATTTAAAATTACAATGTTTAAAATTTAGATATTAATATATACCCTTGTTGGATACAAAGCATGTTTAAAATATATGACCTCATTTGATCTTCAGTAATCTCTGCTAGTTTCTAGTTATATTCAATAGTGGTATTGGTATTGTATGCTTTGGCCTCATTGTGGTGTAAATATGTTTTTGTCAACTAGCCTGAGAAGCCGGCCACCAACATAATGATGTAATGAGAAAATGTGTTCTGAGTTCCAAACAAATGGGTAACAAATGAGCTCTCAGCAGTCAACCTTTTTATAAGCTGGGGCTCACTGGCCAGCAGGTTCATGCCAACAGGTGTGTGTAGACAATGGAGAAAAACTTTCTATCACATGTGTGGTTCCTGGCTACCAGAAATATTGGCTGAGGACTCAGCAGTGTCATTATGGGTGATGCAAAGGATCACTCCACTAGGAGCAGTTTGGAAAAAATACAGTCCTTGGGAATTCCAGGCAGCATCTAAGGTTCCGGCAAGGCCGTAGAAGTGTTCATGCAACGGTTCTCTGTTACCACAGGCAGGCGACCTAAAGGGTTCAGCTGCTTGAAATGAGAATGGCTGGATCAAAATGGGTTTAAAAGACTCTAGTCAGAGATCAGATGTCCTCATGTAGTGCCAGCTCCTCTGAATGGCCAGGGGAGAAGGAGCCAAATGCCCTGGATCTTTTTCTTGGGCTTCAAACTCTCTTCTCCTGCCATCATCCTTCCAGTACTGGGCAGGAGCCATGATTGCAGGCATTCTGGCCTCTGTGAACTTCTCAAGGGTTTGTATTGTCAGACAATAACTACCATGTCCACCAACAGTCAGTTATGCCCATCGCCCAACCAGAGCATATGTTTTATAACATGATGGCAAAGATTGCATCTATAATTGTGATGATTTTTAAAAATAATCACTTCATTTAGATTTTTCTATTTTGATCCAAGGTATTCTTCAGCAGAAATAAGGAAACAGTTTACTCTCCCACCAAACCTTGGCCAGTACCATCGACAGAGCATAAGTACCTCTGGCTTCCCCTCTCTTCAACTAGTAAGTATGAGTTACAAGTTTATTTAGCAAACGGTCAAGTGCAGAAGTGCCCAGTGTATGTGTTTGCTTCCTGACCCTCCTTAGATCTTCCTACTACCACCTTACGTTCTTCAACCACCGGTTCCTAACTGCACGGCTGCTTTTTCACGTCAGACAATATCCCTTCTCCCTCCATCAACCAGGGCTTAGAGTGCAAATAGCACCTTTCTGGGCCGTGGTTCTGACCTCTCTAGACTTAGCAGGCACCCAGGCCACTCAATTTCACCCAAATTATGGTTCATATTTGGGAAAGAGGGACAACCTGGAAACTTACCACTATTTGTAGTTTGTTTTTAATTGTAAAAGTTTATTCCAGATTCTGAAAAGCCAAGTTACAAACCTTCATTCTGCAAAGTTATTTTCTTAGAAATATAATTTACATATAATAAAATTTACCCATTTGGGCTATACAATTTGATGAATTTGGGCAATTTAGAGTCATTTAACCTCTACTCAATTGATATGGAACACTTTCCTTATCCTAAAAAAAATTCCCTGGTTCCTTTTTGCATTGGTCTCCTCTCCCAAACCGCAGCCCCCAACCCAGCCAATCACTAATCTACTTCTGTTATTATAATTTCGCCCTACCTGGAACTTCAGATACTGTAATTGCAATCATACAGTATGTACAAGCCTTCATTTTTAAAACACATTCCACTTTTAAGTTGAAGATTGCCTACATTTTTATATTAACACCAACTGTTGATTGTGCATGCATATGTTATATTATTTGAGGACTAAATGCCAAACATGTGCCAAGTGAGATGAATCTGACTTAGATGGTTTGTAAAACCAAAAGTGAGTATTCACTTCCTTTGTGAGAGAGCTCTAGCCCTCCTATACTCACTTCCTCACACTCAGCACAGCAGCACTTTTTGCTGGTTCTAGTGGTTATCTTGAGGAGGTAGGTTATTTTTTGTTTCTTCTTATTACTTCAAAGCCACTTCTGCTCTTAGAAATTTTGTAACCTTCCACTCGGTTTCCGGTAGCCGCCATTTTGTCTCCTGTAACAATTTACACGCCGTGTAACTGTGTATCTTTTAAAGGTATGTTTTACTGGAGTGATTTGTGGTTATTTCAGAAGGATAATTTGTGTCTTGTGTCATTAATGAAATAGTAGTACTAAAAAACGTATAGCACCTTTTACTGCAAGAGGTAATTTGTGATGCCATTTCTTCAAAAAATCTATTTCTGACTCTGGTGGCTTGCTAGATTGCCCTTTTATTTGTACTTTTCCTGTCTGTTTCAAAATTGCAGATTACAATAAAAGCACTTCAAGTGCATAATGTCCATGTTTTCAGATATATTAGATGAGCTCTAAACCCAGATAAATTAGATATGCTTGTTGGTTTAATTTGGTGCTGGTATGTATTTAATTGAAAACCAAAACCTTTTTTTAAAAATTTCTGATTCAAGTTGTATTAAAAAATATGCACGATTTAGTTAAAAAGTAACTGGATATATTTTTAAATTTAGATAAGGTGAGGTGGGGGTTCTTGGTGCTTTGCTTTTTTGTAAATTAAGACTGCAGCTTTCTGCAGTAGTTGTGTTGGGAAATAGTGTGGACATCACTATTAAGAGACTTTAAGGAAGTTTAGCTAACAGGCTTTAACCCTTTCTCTCCACCCCAGCTGTACTTTAATGCTGCAGCCTGAAATTTTTTCAGGAGAAATTCTTTTTTTGTGTAAAGTTACAAAGAAAAGAAGTTGCTTAATATTTGCAAGTATTCTTTTGGTAATTTGCTGCCTTCTCAGTAGGTTTTGATGAAACTGAATTTTGATGAATTACTTCATTAGCTAGGTAGTCAAGTTCACACGTGGCTTAGCTACCCATTTTCTAAGAGAAGATATCAAGAAAGTAGCAAAAATAAGCAAAAGTGTCACACTATGCAAGAATCCTGCGTTCCTACCTCTTGTCATTTAATCCTGGTTGTATTTGCGCGTGAATTTCCTTTAAAATACATCACTCCCAGTTATTCCCATTTATATACTTTTCCGAATCTCCTTTCCTGTCTCTCTACTCCACTACAGCATAGTCTGTTGCCCTTGTTCCTTCTACTTAAAGAGCAAGAGGCATGTGGGAGCCAAGGGGCTTGAATTCTGCTTGAATTCTATTCCTTTTTTTTTTTTTTAAACAGTCTGTTAGGAAATCCCATCTCCTAATGTTTACTTCCTGTCGTGTTGTAATGTCAGAATGAAGTGGCTGTTCTTTCCCTTGAGTCATCTCCCTGAATGAAGGTTCCCCAAAAGAAATCATCAAATTACATGGTGATTTCCTTTTACCTTTAAAATATTATTTCTTTTCATAGAGAGATAACAGAACATTTCAGCAAGATTCATTTGTAGCAAGGCAAAGGATTAGTTTATCGTCCAAATATTCTCAACCTTGAAGCAGCTTTATAAAGCTTTCCTTAAATGAGAGGCCATTGTATTATTTTATATTATTTTGGTTAGTTGAAAAATAAGACCAAGTGCATTTTGGCCATTGTTTCTCTTACCTTTATTTAGATAACCACCATTACAACAACGCCACATTCTGATACAAATGGTTGTTTAATTTTAAAAAGTAATTAAGTGAAGTCAAGTTATTTAAAACCTGATCAATTACAAGTTTTTTGTTGCTGCTGCTGTTTTGCAAGAGTGAAGAACTTGAAGTCAGATGAATCTGGGGTGAAGTACAATTGCCACTTATTAGTTATATAATTTGGGACAAGTTACTTAACCTCACTGAAGGCTTCAGTTTCCTCATTTGCAAAAGTGGCATAATAATCCTGCCCCCATTAGGGTTAATATAGAATTATATCATAGATCCTATGTAAATAGTGGCTAATATTGCTGTCTTCTGTATTTGGCACTATGGAGACACAGTGGGAGATTAAAAGAAGAAGATGAATGAAAGTTGGTTTCAGCTGTGAAGGGATTTATGATCCATTTGGGAAGACAGATAATAGAGGATCTATACTGGCTTCAGGTGGGCAGGTGTTCAGAGGAGAAGACACATGATGTACTAGGCTTGATGGAGGAGGCTGAGAAGACTTAGAGGAAGGGCTCTCAGCCCTGACTGTATATTTGAATCACCCAGGGACTTTTAGAAACATACCTGTAGCCAGGCCCACCACAGAACAACTAAATCAGAATTCCCTAGTGTGCAGACCAGGCATCAGTAGTTTAAAGTTCCCTGGGGACTTTAACTTGTGGACCAAGTTGAGTCATTTAAAGAACTTTAAAGTTAAAGGTAGAAATATTCCAAATATGGGGAAGACTATAAAGAAGGGTAAAGTTTCTTCTGTGCTCCGAATTGCAGAATGTGTGGTAAGCACGAACCACTTGTTAATCCTGTGGATACATCCTTATATAAATATGGTGGCTTCCATCATAAATCTGATAAATGAAATGAGAGGAAGGGTGTGTGTTTGATGGTTTTTCTTTTTTGCTTTATTGGACTTTTTGTTTTTAACTCTAATTGTAAATGTTAGCTGTGATGACTGTGGGTACATACATTTTTAAAGTAGATAAAATGTTTTTAAATTTTGCATTTTGAAGGGGATTCATCATTTAGAGTTGGTTTTCTGGACATGACGATAAACTTGCCCTGGGTCTATCTGATACTCCCGCCAGAATCCTTTGTGACTGGAGCCATAGAGATTGACTCTGGCTGGTAAATATCCCTGCATGTGTACTCACCCATCGGCCCTGGCATTCTCCATGGCCACAGCCATGTGAATAGGTCGACCAGATACCCTCTCGTGCCAGCCACCTATGTAGGCAAACAACTCTATTTTTGATGTCTCTGTTCAAATGAAACTGTAAAATGTTATTTTATTATTATTGGAAGTAGAGAAGAAAGTAAAACATACAAGGGAAGAAAGGATTGGGATCTGTGCCCTAAGGAAGTAAGGAGGATTTGAGACACTGTGTACCCGGTTAATAATATTAAGCTATGGTCTTTATGGAGGGACACATCCTACTTTTTAAAATGAGAACAGAAAAGTTTTGAAATGAAATGGAGTGAATCAACTGGACCATAACGGCTCTGGCTGAAGAAAAGGATGTAAAAAGCCACATCCTGGATATGTACCAGAATACCATGGTTACACGACATGTTTGCATATAACATTTACGTTTTATAAAAAAGGCCATCTCATACCTTAGAAGGCATTTATTCTTGTTATGTGTATAGGCTTCTGTGCAATACAGCAACCATTTCTTTTACAGCAAAGGATGATTTGCACGGTGAATTGCTTGATAAACATGGCCCTCTTTTGTTCTGATTCTGTTGTTCTTTTGTACTTCATCCAAGGACTTGGGCTACACTTAGGTTTCATTGATTGCACTGGAGGGGACATGATGGAAAATGAAAATCTCAATATCGCTTTCATGCCAATTCACAGTGGACGATAAAATGAATGAGTGGCAGGCATTCTGCACACAAAGCAGGCATTTCATGATTGTGGTTCCCCTAAAACAGGGGAACCACACCAGCCTTGGTGAAAATAGACCAATGCCCGTCGTGGCATGTCAGCAACTTCTACTCAGGGGTATCAGTGAAAGACTGTTGGTGGTGGAAGCAGGAAAGTGTCTAATCTAGTCCACAAGGTACAGTATTTTGAAATCACTGAAGTCGGAAGAGCTTCACTGCCTTCAGCTTCATTTAAAGATATTAGAGAGCCATGAGGATTGTCTTATTCATTCATTCAAGAAATATTTATTGGTTTTCACTGTGTGTTAGGAACCTCTTTAAGAGCTGATGATACAATCATGAATATAACAAAGTGTCTATCCTCATAGAGCTTACATTTTACAATGGGAGACAGACATAGACAAGCAAGTGTAGACTGTATCAGGGGTGGCCAGGGCTTTGAAGAATGGAACAGGGAAAGGGAATAGGGACACAGAAGAGGTGCTATTTTAAATTGGGTAGTCTGTGAAGGCCTCTCTCTAGAAAGGAGATACTTGGGCAGA